CTGTCTGGACTGCTCGAAGAGTCAAAGAGAAAGAGAGAGAGATTATGTGTCTAAGAGTCAGGTTGTCGTCTTCTCTAAGGGATAATGACTCCCTTTCTCAATACCTGTCTCCCACAGCTACCATCTGACAAATTAGTACTCATCACGGCTTAACCACAGCTCGCAAGCTCTTTCACCAACAAGCATTGTGGGGAAGGATCTTTCTGTCAAATGAAATCTTGTTTATCAGACGTGATGGCAGCTACTGTATGGTGATTTACTATACAGCTGATCCTTTACTAAAAAAATAAAGGGTTCCAAACCAAGCTGCTTATTTCTATACAATGAATGAAATTAAATGGGTACTAGGGCTGTCAAGCCTCAAAAAAGACTAAAAGGCATCCTAAAAGTATCCTAAAAGTAATCTATGTCTCTGAAGCTAAGCAATAGGTTTTGAGAAACAGAAATTGAAGGGTTATTTACTTCTGCTGTAGCTCTCAAATCACAGTTCAAACTTGACGTGTCAAGATGAGTTGCCATCAAGTTACATCATTGGGTTTCATGTCTCATGGTCAAACACCTTGTGTCTCATGAATGTTAGCTTGAATAAGATTCGAAAGCTGCAGTAGAGGTATGTTCCTCAAAAAAGCTATCATATGCCTGGAAAAAAAAAAAAAAAGTTTGGAATGACATAAGGGTGAGTAAAGGATGACGGTTTTCATTTTGTAAACTAATTGATCCCTTACAGTAAGGATCTCAGTCACGACTGTATATTTTTAGGCAATGAAATGACAAAACCTGATATCTCATCAGCATAGATAAAAGTACAGACGGAAGTCATTCAGTGCGAGTATGACTGTCTGGCTTTGAAAACTAAGCAGAACAACTAAATGGGTCTGGAGATTCTAAACCAAGCAGAAAGGGAGGAGAGGGTATAAGGTAAATGAAACTAAAAGGAGTGGAAATGATGGACTGATTCCGCACTGGAATTTGATAAGACGGTGGATTTGGGGGCACAAGGGGGAGGCAGGCGGACATGCAGCAAGCACTGCTGGGGCTAGTGCACAGACTGGTTCAGTTGGTCGGATGGTTAAGAGACTCACTCTGTCTGTGGTGACGTGGCGCACATGGCCGCACACTCCCCCGCTGTGAGTGTTGCCAAGAAGAGAGGATAGGGGCAAGCAACATGCCCTGTACAGAGGAACAGAGAGAGAAAGGCTGATCCCTGCACCATACACACATACACATACTGTATATCGATACAAACACTTAGTTCAACAGAAAAAGAGCAAACCACATATAGGGTGAATTCAGGTTGATTGTGAAACTTTTTCCTAGTCATCTCAATGGCAGAAAGTGTCCCATTCAACCTGTATTCGCCCCTACTTGTACTTGTAAATGTGGTAAAATGCCACTTTCATGTGCTCTGTCAAATTAATACTAGTCTAGGCTCAGAGTAGCATTTTGTAATTTTTGTATAATATGCATCACATTGTCCATTTGGGCCTTTCTGGGGCTTGGCATAAGGGAAACACTGCTACAGTAGGTTCAATATTTCAAACCTTGGTTACTTGTAAAGGTAACCAAAGGCAAATGTCCTTTCTCAATGTCTGAAATCAACCAATAAAACACCCTGACTACATCTGACGTCCCATGCAGAGAAACATCTAAAGGGGTGTTCACATTGACAGTGATTTGCAGTGACGAAGTGACAGAATTACATACATTTTAAATGAGAATTACCAGGGGGGGAAAAAACATACTAGTAACTATAGATGCAAGAACAAAATATAAAAACGATGTAAATAAGACATTCGTTCACAGGAGTTTCAGCAAGAATGCAGAACTTCTGAACAGAAGTGACTGACAGCTTCAATGATTATAAAGTGACCACTCTTTCATTGCTTTCTGTATACAATACAACTCATTCACAATTTGAATACAAGTTATTTGTTCATCTGCTAGTTGCGCACAGCAAAGTTTCGTGACTGACAACCGTATTTAAATGTTGGATTTGAATTTGAAATTGCAATGACTCACATAGTCATAGTAATGATTACTTATAATTTTTATTAAGATTAACAATTAAAGAGGTGGAATAATGCCCTTTTCACAAGATGTAAAATAAGTCTTTGATGTCCCCAGTGTGTTTGTGAAGGTTTAGCTCAAAATACCCCACAGATATTTTTATATAGCATGTTAAAATTGTCACTTTTTGAGGGTGAGCAAAAACACAGTTTTTGTGTGTCCCTTTAAATGCCAATGAGCTGCTGCTCCCAGCACAGGGGGCGGAGCTACAACAGTTTGTGTCCTTTTACCTCACACAGACATGCACAGAAAATTTCAATGTTTATGTTCAAACCGGAGTCAGACAATAATGGAGAGACTCAAGAAGAAGTGACAACATGTAGAATGCAACAGGACATTTCTGAATGGTTAGTTGATGAATTTAGGTAGCTTATGTGTAGTTATCTTCTAGTCATTGATTAGCATATTCAGTCATGATAATCTATAAATCACGTTCCCGAGGGCGGGGTTTATGTAAATTTTAGGGTTGGTGATGTCACTAACCCGGGAGGAATGTTGTGTAGTCCCTACCAGCCGTTTGTTGTAGTCCTTAAAAAACAATTTCTTTAAAAGCAAATATCTTTCTTTGCTTTGAACTTTGAGCTTCGTAACTTTGCGGATGTTGTTTATGCTCAAAAACAGCAACATTACACACTAACTAAAGTTAAAAAAGTGAATAATCAACCATAATCAACCACCCCTTTATCATTTGATTTGATTTTAATATTTTTTTCATCTTCATAAAGTCAAATAGTGAAATTCTTTTTGCTATGCATACAGAGAACCGGGAAATTTGACTGGTATTGGTACCGACTACTGAAATCCTGGTATTGTGACAACACTGTTCTCAATAGGCATTGTCCACACTCAACAGCACAACATAGACTTTTTCATTAGACCTTATTCCAAAAACAAATACATTCCAATTAAAATTGATTTATTTTGTCCATTTAACTTTGACGTCTATATAATATTTATTGTTAGAAAATAACAAAAAATCTACTAATTGAAAAGGATACCTAAGGTTAAGAACCTTTACTAACTATTGAGGAAAAAAACGTTTTAGGCCCTATTCTGTACGCCATTCATGAAAAGTGCCGAATAAACACAGGCAAATTCAATTAGGATCACACAGTCATCACTGCCCCACTTTGGGCTGTTTAGTTCTGCCGGCCGTCAACATTTTCCTCTGTTTGATCTCACCCCTCGAGGGGTCTTTTCTAAACATTAACTGCATTGTTTTTCCCTGTTGTCCATTACCCTTTGAGCCCAAAACCATCGACTGAGATCCACTGAACTAGAATGATTTCTTCCAGAGCCTGCAAGAAATGTCACATCATTCACACAATTCTGTTACCAGGACTACAGACAAAGTTTCTTAAGAACTGTCAAGACAATAAGGACTTTTACATCATCCAGTGGCAGCATTTATTTGGGTTCAGTGCAATTACAAACTGTTCCATGCATGGATTTCTCAGCATGGTCAACTAACTATACTGAGAATAGGAGAACAGTGCTGGTGAACACGCTAACTCATGATTGGTCACTTGGTCAGTAGCTAATGTAAATTTTAAAAAATCAGTCCTAAAAACTTAAATATAAAATCATCAGCAGTGTGCGAAAAACAAGCATTCATTTAGCAGATTGTTGCCATTATTGAAGTAGAAATCACGCAGCCTTTTTTCACCCCAAAATTAAAGCTGTCATCATTCATGATTACAGACATGTTGAGTGCATGAACTATGATCTCGTCTTTGCAATTCGATTCCTGCACACTAATGAATAACTAACAGTGAAAACACAATGTAAATAAGAGATTCGTTGATTATAATCAGACTATTGATAAAAGGGAGTTTTGGCGAGAGTCCAGAACTCAGTCACTGATAAACTCGCACTGTTTGATTGACAGCTCCAGTGATTGTAAAAAAGGAGCGTTCTTTGATAGCTTTCTATATATAATTTAATCACAGTTTAAATAACAGATTATTTTCATCCTACCAAGAGAAACAATGTGAAGTTAACCGTTTAGTCACTGGTTTGATTTACTGACATAGACAAAGAATATATGACTGTACATAAATCATTACATATCAGAAATCACTGGTCACAGATCAGGCATTAGAATGAACACAGTTACTTACATGTTGTGGTATTACTGTAGAGTCCATATCATAAAAGTCTGTTTGCAAAGCATGCGCCGAAATTGCGACTGATTTACCAAATCATCCACTGAGAAATGTACCGAATCCAAATAAATAATGCTCAACTGAGACATTCACATTGTTGAAAATAAATAACCACATTCCTAGCATTAGGATCCTTTGTCCTATTATAGGCACATTCCACAACGAGTCGTTCGCTGGGCTTGGTTACAATGTAAGCTGTTTTTGGAATAAAAAGGAAGCTTTCAGTTCTGAAACTTACAGGATTATAGTATGATGACCTTTTATATGTCAAAAGAAGATTTCTCAGTTCATGACCCCTTTAAAAATAATGTACCACCGATACTAAACCCTACCCTAAACTGCAGTCAATAAAAGCAAATGAGAGATAAAGACGCAAAAGCGTGTCGAGCGTAATAAAATTTGTTGGTGTTTTACTGCCACTAGTGTTAGTTTCAAATGGAAACTGCAGTGAATTGTATGTATAGGTACGTTTTTGGAGTTTTTGGAGCAAAAATGTAGGTAGAGGCAAGTTTTTCCAATGAGCCTATGTTGGAAGATTCAAAAACACGCATGGCGATTACACCGACCAGTCAAAACCCCAGCCCCTAACTTCTCTCCTCTCAGATACATGAGCATCCTTATTTCCACAGAGGTGATTGAAATCATTTGGCCTATGCCTCTGTCAGTCAGTACTATTCCTAATCATGTACATAATATAACCAACAATGCAATGATAAAGCTGACCTGACCTGACCTGACCTTGTTTTCTATCTCTGCATATATACTCACATTATGTGGCCTCCACAGGGTTTGAGTATCCTTGTCCTGGTGCTCCGCTGACTCCTTGTAAGCCTCTGACCCCTGCAGGCAGTGGCACTGCATATCCTCTACTGGAGAAGACTATGAAAAATAAAAATAAAATGCTGATGTATTGCTGTGTAAAACAAAGTATAAGTAATAAACAAATTAATTAGCAAACAAATGTCACACTGGTCTCTCATCACATCTGTTGTGATTTCCAGGAACATTCACAATAGAATACAACACACATTTCAATATTACAGGTCCTTTATGTCTTTACATCATGAACATTCATAAATACAAAATAAGTGTGGATTTTATAAAGATTTTCAAAAACATGTATTTCATTCCAAAATCAAAAGAAAGATTTATCCTATTTAGGACCACTGAGCCTGAGGTATTTTTTTTGCATTTTGAAATGACAGTTCATGACAATTAAGCAATGCACATAAATTATATATTATTTAAATATGTATGTGAAGTATACAACATGTAGTAAATCTAATGAGAATCGTTATTGAGAATAATGGGAATTACAAATATTACAATAATTTTAAAATGCAACAACAACAAGAAATATTTGCCTAAAAAAGCTTAATTTTCTTTATGCAAAATATCATTTCTTATTTTCATATTTCGATTTTTGGTGGATTATGACGTTTTCGTGAAATTCACCCTCACACTGAAAGCAGAAACGAGAGAAATAATAAATTATGAGCGAAATAAAAATGATGAGAATAGATCTGAGTTTTGAGTTCATGTACAAAATCGAATTTAGCAACAATATTTCAATACGTCTGAAAATATTATTTCCTCTAACAATATATCTACTCATGTTGCTTTAATAAGAAACTAAATAAATAAAAGCAGTCTCTGCATGCAACAGTTTGAGTTTGGATGTTGCATAGACCCGGCTGGGTCTATGCAACATCGGGTCCTTAATGAGCGAATAATTGAAAGTATGGGATATCCAGAATAATCAAAGTTCTAAATCAGGGGTGGCGAACGTCAGTCCTGTGGAGCCACAGTCCTGCAGAGTTATGCTCCAACCCTGATAAAAACTCACCTGCCTCTAGCTTTCTAATAACCCTTAAGACCTTGATTAGCTTGTTCGATTAGCTTGATTGGTGTGTTTGATTAGGGTTGGAGCAAAACTCTGCAGGATCGTGGCTCTTCAGGACCGACGTTCTCCACCCTGATCTAAATTAAGATCATAGTACCTAATTAGAATGGTGGTCCTTACAACAGGCTCATAATTAATGTGAATAATGCATAATTATAATGTGAAGATATGGTTTCATTTTCCACTGTTGGGCTGATAACGGAGCTCTTTGGAATGTAATACAAATGCATCAGTCGTTGCCTTAGTAATGCAAGAGTTTACAGATCATATTATTAGATATTTCTTCTAATTTTATTATTAATTTGTGTTTATGTCCCTCAAATAGCGTACTTAGCCAGCTACAGAGAAACTGGTAGCTAGGCAACAGACAAGTGACCAATCCGGAGTTGCGATGTCACTGTACAAATTCTAACAGCACGGTTCGACAACTGTGCAGAGATTTCCGGGCCAAGAAGGGTTTGTAATCGGGCCGTGCCGTAACGGGCTCAAGTGGAAATACAACTGGAACCGTTCCTTACCGTTCTTAGAACCGTTCGGCTCGGGAGTGGAAAAAGTGGCATTGGTAACCAGACAGTTGCCGGTAGCCTACAATGGAAGTCAATGGCTACCGTCCATTGTTTGATTACCAACATTCTTTAAAATAACTTCTGTGTTCAACAGAAGAAAGAAACTCATACAGGTTTGGAACAACTTGAGGGTGAGTAAGTGATGACAAAAAATACATTATTAAAATCAAAAGTTGTATTTGTTAACATTAGTTAATGCACTGTGAAGTAACATGAACAAACAATGAACAGATGTATTTTTATTAACTAACATTAGCAAAGTTAAATAAATAATTAATAAATACAGTAACAAATGAATTGCTCAAGGTTAGTTCATGTTAGTTAATACATTAACTGTTAACGGTAACACTTTACAATAAGGTCCATTAGTTAACATCAGTTAATGTATTAACTAACATGAACTAACCATGAGCAATACATTTGTTACTGTATTTGTTAATCTTCGTTGATGTTAGTTAATAAAAATAAAGCTAGTTAGTTCACAGCGCATTAACTAATGTTAACAAGATTTGAATAAAGTATTAGTAAATATTGAAATTAACATTTACAAAGATTAATAAATGCTGTATAAGTGCTGTTCATAATTAGTTCATGCTAACTAATCTAGTTAACTAATGTTAACTAATGAACCTTATTGTAAAGTGTTACCCTGTTAACAAATGAAACCTTGTAAAGCGTAACCAAATAAATTAATAAACAAAAAGGTCAGGTTGTGTTAAACCATTCAAATCTTATTGATTCTTTACTTACCATAGCACATGCCAATGATTTAGTATAAATAACACGCTAAAATAATATACCACTTTTTTTTCAATGTTTAAAGTCAGTTACTCTCAAATATTTAGACTATAATACGCACCAGCTGCTGGGAAAGTTCAGCAATCATCCTGTCTTTGCTTCTGAGCTCATTTCTCAGTTCTTGAACCTCTTTCAGAAGCAGTGCCACCTAGAAAATAACAGTAGACAAGGTGAACCTTTTTTTTATTTTTATTTTTTGCCAAATCAGAACAGGGGTTGATTTTGATCAGAGGTTAGATGGGAATATGTAAATGTTATAAGTTATAAGCATGACATGCTTATTTATTAATAGCAAAAATATTATACAATACACACACTTGTTTTTGTTTTGTGGTGAGTTGACTCTACTGCTTTTCAGAGTTGGGGTGCAATGGACTGTGCACAATGCTTAGGAGTTGTTGGCTCACTTGGAATTATGTCAATCAGGGTCATGCCCCAATCCTCATAAAGACTTTACGACTTTAGCATGTTTGATATCAATATGCAGTGGTCAGAGGAGATGCAAACAACGCGGTCACCGACCAAAAAATAATAAGTGTGAATCAAAAATTAAAAAATGCTTTTTAAAAAAATAGTAAGCATGAATATAATTAAAATTATATTGCACAAAACTGAAACATGAATTCAAAGTTATTTGAATTGCACGCAAAATCACCATGTTTTTCATCTGTACGAGTCTGACCATCAGCAGCATGGGTTGTATTGGAGTGACGTCAACTGATTGATTGGCTAGAGGAGGAGCTGTCAATCTAGAACTAGTACACCAATGTTGACGATAAAGCCCCCCCAGATTTACATGAAACCTGAACTGCAACATTTGGAAACAAGAGCAAAGCGAAAAACAACATACTGTAAGCAAACAAAAAATGAAAATATGAGCAGAAAACATGATTTTGCATGCAATTTGGATAACTTTGAATTCATGTTTCAGTTTTGTACAATATAAGTTTAAATGTGTTTAAAGTTTTGATTCGTGCTGCTTACAATTTTTTTAATGCTTTTTAAACATTTTGATTCACACTTATTTTTCGATCTGTGACTGGGTTGTTTGCTTGACTGATAACTTTGCATTCATTTTTCAGTTTTGTGCAAAATATTTTTAAATGCATTTTTAAATTTTTGATACATGCTTATTAATTTTTTATCCGTGACCGCAATACTTTTGATGGGAAATTGATCCCATGTCAATCTGAAGGTTTACTTTGCTGGATATAGTAAATGATGACAAAATAATGACAAGACAAGTGGTTTATGCTTAATTTTGAAAGGGTGCGATTAATCGTGATTAAAATTTTTAATCTATTGACAGCCCTAATTATATATATGCCAATAAATATGCCTATAAATATATTTAATAGAGTAATTGTTATAATGGAATTACTAGTGTTTGATGCCCTTTTTATTTACAGTTCAGCCCCTGCCCGATAAACTCTCTGCACATCCTGTCACGAGTCCAGCGTTCCCATCAGTGCCAGAGCCTAATACTCCACCTCTTCCTTCCAATTCGCCTGAATACTGATTCCCAACACCTGTGGCTGATTAACCGGGACCTGCATAAAAGCACGCACTCACCTTCATTACATTGTCTGGTCTCGTCTCTCACACCAGTGCAAGACTTACCTGACTCCCGATCGCGGTTCTTCATCTTCATCATCGTCGATCAGTCTTCATCTTAATCTTTGTCAATCCCAGTCCATCCTGCATTATAGATAGACTGTTGTCTCGAGTTAAGTCATTCAAGTGCCTGCTGGCACAATATTATGTTTACCCACGTGTTTTCCTCTATTCTCTTTAATAAATTCCGGTGAACGATCATCAGTTGTCTGTGCTTCAGAGTCTTGTGACAGAAGACCAGATCACTATTGTGAAATGGATCCTAGTTCACCAGCTCCGTCAATCGCTTCTTCATCGGCTCATCGCTCCCTTGCATGATCTGCCTGCCGGTCCCATGGCTTTACTAGCGCCCTTCTCTGACGCGGCGGAGAACTGCAGCGGCTTCCTAGCCCATTGCACGCTGTTATTCGAGATGCAACCACAGCGTTTCACCACGGATAGAGCAAAGGTTGTGTTCATCATTTCTCTGCTCTCTGGTCATGCACTCCAGTGGGCCAAAACTATCTGGGAGCAAGCTGGGCCAGTAACTCAGACTTAGAATTCCTTTCCTTACACAATTCAAAGAGGTATTTGATCAAACTGCCACCTTACTTTCTGTGCATGACCAGTTATTTCGTCTCAAGCAGGGAAAATCCTCTGTGTCTGAGGATGCGGTTAAATTTTGAATCAATGCCGCCACAAGCCGATGGAATGAGCCAGCACTCATCACAGCCTACCGACAGGGTTTATCACCATCACTACGTTTGGATCTTGCCATTTGTGACAAAAGATTGGAAAAAGATTTTCCAATTTGGATTGGAAAATTTCATCCAACGATATATCCCATGTGGCCCAGCGCTTAAATGCATATGATCTGGAACTTCCTGCCCTGCATTCTCCGCCCACTGCAGCTGCAGTCTCACCACCAGCACTTCGTTTCAGCCAAGGCCCTCATTGATTCGGGCTCCGCAGGAAACTTCAGCACCAGAAACTTTATCAACCGGTTCCGCATCCCGCAAATCCCTTGCCAGAAGATTAACCCCATCCTGGGGAAACCACTTGGACGAGGTAGCATTACTCACTGCACTCCATCTCTCACTCTTTCACATTGGTGCCACTCATTATGAACATATCTCCTTGCTGGATGGATCAATATCTGACATCATCCTGGCACGTCCCTGGCTAAAATATCTTAACCCTCATATCTCCTGGACCTCTAGTGACATTCTCTCCTGGAGTGACGGCTGCTTTGATACCTGCTTACAACTTCTGTCTTGACCCATTTCAACGGTTAAACCATCTGATATGCTCCTCCAAGCAATCACCATCGAGAGTCCCGAACAGCACCAAGTCGAAATCCCAGAGGAGTACAGGGTGTTCCAGGATAATTTTAGTAAGCAATTGGCAACCCGTTTACAACCTCACAGGCCATGGGACTGTGCTATTTAATTGCTGCCAGGTACCACCCTGCCTAAAGGGAAGTGTGTACCCATTATCCATCCGAGAACAAAATGCCATGGAGAAGTATGTAGACGATGCTCTTCACCTGGGTTACATCTGCCTTCTACATCCCCTGCCGCTTCCAGCTTTTTCTTCATGGCCAAGAAGAACGTTGGCTTGCGGCCATGCATTGATTATCGATCCCTCAACAATAGGGTTGGGTACCGAAACTCGGTGCCAATAGGGAACCGGTTCCGACGTAAACGGTAGTAACCAGACCGAATAAGAACGACAATTTCGGTGCCTGATTTCGGTGCCTGACTTAATTAGGCACACACACACACGCACAGTCTCTTCTGTCTCGCATGCGTGCTCTTGCTCGCAAGGTTTGGCTGCATTTCACGTGTAAAATTACGTGTCAGAACGCCCTCTGGGTGTGCCGATAGTCTGAATCCCATATAGAATCAAGCCAATTCATTGGCTAATGGCGCGGGTGCCGCCTCGACGCACTTACGTTGTCATATTATGTTGGCGCGCGCGCGCCATCTGCTCCTCAGATTTCTCTGCCGAAAAAGGAAGCTGGTCGGCAGCGCGAGGAGCTTGGCAGCGTCTCGTTCCCTATTGAGAGAACATAGGTTACACCAGTAAACAGAGATGTTCTCTTTCATAGGTTCACTCAACGCTGCGTAGCTAAGAAGCAGTGGATTTGTATTTGTAGGCTGCTGTATCACGTGCCGTTTGAACTGACGCGCTACAGCGATCTGTCACATTTCAAAGAGCCAAAACGTTATTTATTGTGTGAATCTCGTAAAAATATTGACAGAATCTGACAGCTGTGGATTTGTTCCATATCAAAAGTAACCTTCTCTGTCTTGTCTGTCGGTGTCCTCTTTGTCCGCGATTTTTCTCTGCGTGAGAAAATGGATGTGTGGCGTGAGAGCGTGTGAAAAGGGTCAATTGCGTGAGTCTCACGGTCAATGCGTGAGAGTTGGCAGCTAATAATCTCTACTAATCTCCAGTATTATTACATTGTTTGATACAATATTGTTTTATTTGATATTATGTAAATCGTGTAAAATGTAATGTAATTTTTTTTATTTTATATCAATATTGGTTTTATTATTACCATATGTTACTTGTATTTATATTGTTTAAAGATTTAAGTTAATATTGTGTCCAGTTTGGCCCTGTAAATAAAAGGGTATTATTTTTTGATAAAGTGTGTGCGGTTTCGTTTTCTTAAGTACCGTTTCAAGAACCGTTTAAGCACCAGAACCGTTTAAAAAATACAGAGTAGGTACTGGTATCGGATAAAACCCAACCGATACCCAACCCTACTCAACAAGCAGACGGTATTGTACAAATATCCCCTTCCTCTGGTTCCAGTGGTGCTCGAGATGCTTTCATCTTCACCAAGTTGGACCTGCGCAGCGTGTACAACCTCATCCGGATACGGAGGGGGGAAGAATGGAATAATAATAATAATAATAATTCATTACATTTATATAGCGCTTTTCTAGGCACTCAAAGCGCTTCACATGGAAGGGGGAATCTCCTCAACCACCACCAATGTGCAGCATCCACTTGGATGATGCGACGGCAGCCATAGTGCGCCAGAACGCTCACCACACACCAGCTTACTGGTGGAGAGGAGACAGAGTGATGAAGCCCATCAGTGTATATATATATATATACACTGATATATATATGGAAGACCGCCTTCATCATACCATTGGGGCACAATGAATATCAGGTCATGCCATATAGGCTAGCCAACTCTCCATATTTTAGGCCTTCGTGAATGAGGTGTTCCGGGAGTACCTACATTGTTTTGTGATCGTTTACATCGACTACATCCTGATCTACTCCCGAACGAGGCAGATGATCGCCTCCACATTGTGCAGGTCCTCCAAAAGCTGAGGGAGAATCACCTTTACCTCAAGCTATAAAAATGTGAATTTCCTCTATTCATTCCTGAGCTATATCATCGATGCCAAAAGGAAGATGCCAGATGGGCTCTATTCTTCACCCGGTTTCACTTCACCGTGACTCGGTCCCGTATACATGCCCCTGACCAACCCAACTGTCTTCCAGAGCCCATTCTCCCTCCAGCTGCCATTGTCAGTCCCATCCAATGGCCTCTAGATGAACAAATCACAGAAGCTACCTGCACTGAACCTGCTCTGCCGGGAGTTCCTGAGGGACAAACCTATGTTCCATTGGCTCTGCAACAGTCCCTCATGGAGTTGCTACACTCTTCCTGAGGATCCGGACATTCAGGCAGCCAGTCAACCCTCTCGCTCATCCGCAACTGATTTTGGTGGCCAGTCATGTCTCAGGAAGTCAAACGCTTCGTCCAAGGATGTCCCACCTGAGTGATCTCCAAGGTACCACGCCATCTTACCAAAGGTAAAATGCATCCGCTGCCCATTCCTCGCCTACCCATCTTTGACTCATTCACCTGTATCCTTGTAGTGAAGCCTGTCAACTTATTCCATTAAAAGGACTGCCATCTGCTTTGGAGACTGCTGAAGCCCTATTTAATCGTATGCTCTGTAACAATGGTTTACCCGAAGACATTGTTTCAGATCGCGGATCTCAAGAGTTCGGAAGGCTTTCTTCCATCTCCTTGGTGTGTCATTGAGTTTAACAACTGGCTACCATCCTCAATCGAATGGGCAGACGGAGAGGAAGATCCAGTAGATGGGATGCTTTCTGAGATCGTACTGCCATGGCCACCAATACAGCTGGAACCGTTATCTTCCCTATCGTTATCTAGGAGTACGCTAAAACTCTCTTCGTCTCAGCACGAGGGCAGCACGATGGCCAGACCGACCCTCGCCTGGCTCTCCACCAGGGACATGCGCCTCCGGCTGCCCAGCCGCAAACTGAGTCCCAGATACATTGGGCCATTCACAATTCAAAGGCAGATCAATCCTTTGATTGATATGCCCCCTCCTCCGGTCGAGCTGGGCGGGGATCCCATCAAAGCAGTCCGCTCCATCCTGGACTCCCGGCGACAAGGCGGCTGACTTGAATACCTCATCGACTGGGAAGGTTACGACCCTGAAAAAAGATCTTGAGTGCCACGTGATGATATTCTAGACCCTACCCTAGTCCAGAAGTTTCACGTCAACCACCCAGATCATCCTGCACCCATAGGAAGAGGTCGTCCTTGTCGTTACCACCGTCGGTCGTCAGGTGCCGCCCATGGAGGGAGAGGTTCTGTCACAAGTCCAGACTTCCCATTAGCGTCAGACCCTACTACTCCAACTCTCTGTTCCAATTCGCCTGAATACTGATTCCCTACACCTGTGGCGAATTAACCTGGACCTGCATAAAAGCCCACACTCACCTTAACTACACTGTCTGGTCTGGTCTCTCACACCAGTGCAAGACTTACCTGACTCCCGCTCACGGTTCTTCATCTTCATCATCGTCAGTCCCGGTCCATCCTGCAATATAGATAGACTGTTGTACTAGAGTTAAGTCATTCAAGTGCCTGCAGGCACTCTATGATATTTACCCATGTGGTTTCCTCTATTCTCTTTAGTAAATTCCTGTAAACGATCATCCGTTGTCGGTTCTTCAGGGTCTTGTGACACATCCCAGTATTGGATTGATTTTAATAACTTTAATGTACTTGAAGTGTGCATCGAGCACTAGGAAAATGCAAGTTTTGGATCGGGACTCGGTATCAGCGTATACTCAATATTCAATGACTCGGATCGGAGGCACAAAAAACTTGATCGGGACATCTATTTATTATAATTATTATGCATGTAATTTTCATGACTTGACATTAACTGAGAGACATGGAATATTTGCACTTTAAAAAAAAAAATCAAAGTTTGTAGAAAACAAAATCTTCACAAAAGAAAAAAAACATTATATACAAAGATGCAAATGTACATATGACTTCAAACGTTAAACACATGGATTTGTTTTATTATTAGGAAAAACTGGAAAACATCTAAAAGATTACACTTGAAAAAGCAAAATGTCATGGATTTAAGGAAGATAAGATAAGATCTTACCTTCTGATCAAGTAAAGATTGGTCAGTGGATTGTGGAGTATAAGCCTCTAAAGTCTCTTCACCTGAACCATCTGTCTCCATCTGAAACAAACAACAAACAAAATCAACCTTGTAATGTGGTGGAATAAATTGCTGCAAATGAGTCATTTGTTTTATCAATACAATTGCTCAGTGTTTAGTGGTCGCACTAGACTTTTTTCGCACAAATGTGGAAGACCAGTAGCCTGACTGCATCAGACTTCGTACTTCCGCACTATTTCAGTTTGCTTCTGTACTCAGTCTGAGACATCGACATGTCTCTCAGTTTTCCTCCGGCCTGAAAACAGCCGGCCAATCAACGAACAGAGGGCGGGCTGAGAGCCGTGACGTAGACGCCAAGCACCGAGTTTAAGATTGTGACCGCGGATATGGAAATACGGGATGCAATTCGCTCTGTTGTGGAGAATATTCCCGGCATTTGCAAACTGAAGCCCGAACAAGAAGAGTGTTTGTTAAACATTTTGAATGGAGGTGATGTTGTGGCCCTACTCCCGACAGGTTTTGGGAAAAGTTTAATTTATCAACTACTACCGATCGTCAGCGAGAAACTGGGCATGTCAAAGGCCGGCAAGGCGATAGTTGTGATTGTGTCCCCCTTGGTTGCACTCATGGAGGATCAGGTTAAGGAGGCAGCAAAACTCGGTCAGCCATGTTCACTCCGGTATTTCGCTCGATGGTTTCGTTTTCGCATCATACATGTGTTTACAGTGGAAGTTCGATGCGGCTGAGCTGGCGAATAACACATGTCATAACCAAACGTTATGTGATTGGCTTACGGGCAACCAATGATTTTATACTTCACACTCTCTTTCACAAACACGCTTGAAGAACCCGTAAAAATACATTTGTGTGCATAGGCCCCATGATGAAAAGGAATGGACAAGTAGGAGAGTCCTTTCATCCTTATGTGTGATCTTTCCATACTCCCATAACATCTTACACATCCTTTTATCCCTTTAAAAGCCGTAAGTGTAACTTGGGGAGTTGTAAAACTCCTCTAAGGAGCTCTAGAACATGTCCCCTCCTATCAGAAATGATCTACAATCAGCTTTATAGAGACAGCTTAAGCTCATGTAGCTCAGAATGACTCAGAGTTAAAGCCACAGCTTTGTGAACAGTGCTCCGACACAGAGAATGGTGCCTCAGATGACCAGAATTTGAGTCCTGGCATGAGATCCTTTCCCTCTCTTCTCTCCCATTGCTTGTTGGGAGTAAGTGAGTAAAGTTAGGGAGTAAAGCAATATTGTAACACATTACTTTTAAAAGTAGCTTTCCCCATAGATTTCCCCAACACTGATTGGCAGTATCAAGTCCATACTTGCTCTGCACCGGCATCAGCAGCAGCATGCGTAGCAGATCTAGTCCGCTAGTACCAAATATTGTATATTACCATAAACCGCTTTTCCACCGTCGGGCCAAAAAGTTCTCTTTGCTTATCCCTTTCATTTCATGCCGATCAGGGCCAGCCGGTACGGATATGGTTTCAATTTCCACTGTGGGGCTGATAACAGCCGCTCTTTGGAATGTACTGTGATACAAACGCGTCAGTCATTGCCTTGGTAAAGCCTTGTTTATACTTTCGCCTGGCTCCGCAGCGCGAGCCTCCGCTGCCTGCGCGCACTCCTCCCCAAACGGATGAGGCATTTATACTTGACGCGCTCGCCGTTGTACTATTCTTTGAAACGACAGGGGGCGACTCGGTGTAATTGTCCTCTAAACCATCAGGAATCAGCAGTGAGAAGAAGTAAGGTACACTCGTGAATGTTTATTTTAGTACACTTTAGTACACCAAAACCACACTACAAAAGAATCGTGTAAAGCAGTAAACCTTGAGATTATTACTTGTGACATTAGAAAAAAAATAAATGGATATCAGAACGTAGCCTACAACCTTATCTTACATATGTTCTAAAATTTTTCATTTAGTTTCGTGAACATTTTTTTTCATAAAACTTTATTTTTATTTAAAGGGCTTATGTCTGCTATTGTAGGCTAATTTAGTAAATGTAAGCAACTAATTTAGTCCCACAAACTGGGTACTGGTGCTGTGAAATGTACATGCTTGGCCAAATTCGTCTTGAAGTCGTGCATCTTCGGATGCGGAGCCGCGCGCAATCGCGCATGTTACAAAAAATGCCGTGCACACCGCCAAGCGAAATGGGCCCTTGCGCACCCAACGCACATGACCGCCCACGCCCCAATGACTTTGTTTTTGCCGTGCACCTTCGCACTCGTGCGGATGCGGCGAGTATAAACCTAGCTTTACACACCAGTTTACTGATGATATAAGATAGCTACCACGTTATGGAGGATGATAAGATATTTATTTTCATTTTATTATGAATTTGCGTTTACGTCACTAAAATGGCACACTTAGCCAGTTACAGAGAAACTGGTAGCCAGGCAACAGACAAGTGACCAATCTTGACTGGCGACATCACTACACACATTCTACCTATTCCGGGCCGAGAACGGTTTGTAATCATGCCATGCCATACCAGGCTCAAGTGGAAACATAACTGGAACCGTTTCTTACCATTCAGAAAATAAGTCGCATGTAGCTTACCTGAGAGTAAGTCACACCGGGTCTTGCTGAGAGAGAAACGTGTGCGCCTCACATTGACCAGCATTTATAGTGTATTTGTAACAGCTGTATTCACAGTTTATAAAATTTAACAAAGTAGTCCACTGTCACATTTGGTCTACGTCTTCTGAAATTCTTATTTTGTACTGTGTTTGAATTTGTTTCCTTGGTAACTTATGTTGACCTGAATCCCGTTTAGTACCTCGTTTGCTCTATTTCTGCGTTACAATCCACATACTATCCAGGCTAATGGCTAATATTGCCTACAACTCATAGCGTGTTGGACAAGGATTCGATTAGAACTACAAACATGAATAAAAAGTAGAGATAGAAAATAAACATAGAAAACCACGGATATGCGAGACTGGCAGTTAAGTAGAGAGGTTAAGATAAAGGGGTTTGAGTGTTTTCGTCATGTTAGATACTGATTATTAACCATATTTATTCAATGTTATCCACATTATATTTCATCTCCAATAACATTGTGAACTTTTATAAAGATACGTTTGGTCATTAACTTTTAAAAGCATCATTATGCAAAACATGAGGACAGTTCACCGTATTTAAGACCCACAGCTGACAGATCAATGTGGTAGGACATTTTATTAAATTGAATGTGGAGGATATTAACTGTGATAAGATGATTGACAGGATAGTTTAATCGGTGACAGGATGCATGTAACTAAGCGATAGAGCGGACCGTTAAAGACGCAATTATGACCAATAGTCTGTGTACCCAAAGCTTGCCTACTTTTCTGCTACACACTCAAAAGTATGTAATTTTTCTTCACAAAAACAGTGCATACTTTTAGGGCATAGTTTAAGTAGGCAAACTGGGATGCAACGCGTATTTGTAGCCCGGTGTTTCAGTTCAGTCTTTCTCTTAGCATGTTTGCAAAGCTGTTACGTTGGATTTACCCCTTGGGTTTGTTTATTCTTCTTCTTTGACTATCTGCTTGTTATCCTGGATTTCTATGCCTGCATTTACTCAGACTTTGTTTTTGTCATCATTAAACATCTGTGTATTTGACCTTCACCTCAACTACTCCTTCCTTATCCACTACCATGTAACAACTACACTGTAAAAAAAGGAAAGTTTCAATCTGTAAGGATTTTTTTACTTGATTTAACACTTAATGACTTTTATTAATGAAATCTTAAATAATCGGGTAAGTTTTTTTTTTTTTTTTTTATCTTTATTTAACCAGGTTTGTCTCATTGAGATATAAAATCTCTTTTTCAAGAGAGACCTGGCCAAGATAGCAGAACAAATTAGATCACAACAATCACAAAAAAAAACAAAAGAGGCAAACAGTTTATTAATGTTAATTAATGATTTTTGAGGATAATAAAATAACACTTTACAATAAGGTTTCATTTGTTCGTTAGTTAACATGAACTAAAAATGAACTTCTAATTCTACAGCATTTATTAATCTTATCTCATGTTAATCTCAACATCAACAAACACTAGCACTGTGATCTAACATTTTGACAAAGGGTAAAAAAAAATTGTAAAATATACATTGCCCATTGTTAGCATTGTTAGTTTTTATGTTAGTTAATGCATACAATTAATTCTAACAAATGAGACCTTATTGTAAGTGTTCCCCATAAAACCAGTTAATTTAACAAATTTGTGGTTCCGAGAAAATGTGAATAGTTGAATAAGTTAAGCATTTAAGATGTCAGTGCCCAGGGCACTAAATAGTCTTCATCCGGCCCTGCAGCCATATGATGGCAACGATCTTTGGCCCAGATGAACTGTGCCACAACATCAACTGCCTTGGTAAATGGCACACTACCCCAAGCCAATTCAATAAGGTCCAGTTAGTCTCTTACTGATACAAACACTGACTCAAAATGAACCTTTGTAACTGCAGAAACATCATAGTGCAGTATCCAACTAGATTTATAATGTCACTAACATTTGGATCAGTTTTCTAGGGCATTCTGAGTGGTTGTCAAAAGAGCCCACCCAAAGTATCATACTCAACAGACTTTGTAATTATCTTCGTAAGACCTCGGACATACATGATATGAACAGAAGTATTGGGACACCTGACCATTACACCAACAGGGACTGTAATGACAATGCATTCTAAATACATAGACATTAATATTGGACCCTGCTTTGCAGCTATAAAAGCTTCCACTTTTCTAGGAAGGCTTTCCACAAGATTTTTGACTGTTTTGGAATTTAAGCACCAAAATCAATATGCAAGGTTAGGGGATTCTTCAAATATTAAAGTATGAGCAAACACCACTAATTAAAAGAGTTCTGTCAATGAAATATCCTAATAAGCCTTACAACATGCTATGTAATATGCTATCACAAATTTAGCAATAATAGAATTTGGACACCACTCAGAAAAGACATTAAAGGTAATATTGGCATAGCATTCGTTTGTATCTGACCTGAAGCAGTGTCTTCAGTTGAAGCAGCTGTTCTGTGAAAGAAGAGCAGTCTTGAACCATGAGTTTCAGCGTCAGCTCATCCAGTGTCGCGTGATCTGACCTTGACCTATCCAGCCCCTGTCCCCTAAATCCGTCAAATGACTGGAAAATGGCAGTTCTGTAGGTCAGACAAAGAGAAGTGATCAGAAAGCATTTACCAGAGGCCTCAGCACACAGTAAAAAAATAAAAATCTTTAAACAGGTTAGCTGTCCAATGAGAGCCATCTTATCCAAAAATCCCCCTGAGTCTGGATATGTAGGAGGTATGCTGAGAACGTGACGTTCTAGAGACTAATTTGCCTTTTAAATGGATATAAAACAGACACTGTTGCACTTGTGGGGACTAAAGGCTAAAAACTGGAACTGTAAATAACAAAATTTTATAACAAAGACTGCCTTCAGAATGTACTTATTTTTTTAAGGTCAGCTTCAGTCTCAAATGGCTCGCCGGCAGACAGCTCACAGTCTGTTCACAAACTATCTGGACTCATATTGAACTCAAAAATGGCAAGAGCTAGATACATTTACTGGATACATTTATGAGTTAGTGTGCATAGTTTTTGTCTAACTCAGGCACTTTGAAAAAACACACTTGTGCCAACATTTCCACAAAATTATATCACGTTGCTTCCTGGACGTTTCACAACACTTTCAAATGGGGTCAGATGACCAAAATCTTATATCACGATATGAGTATTTCACAATGATATATCATGATATATTGTTATTTCTGCTTTAAAGGTACAATATGTAAGAATTTTGTATCAAAATATCCAAAACAAACACTTGCACAGTGTTATATATTTCTTTCAATTGTGTACTTCCATTATCCTAAATGTTTCCAAGAATTTGTAAATTCAGAGAAATTCACTATTTTAAGTGACCGTCGCTGTTCACTTGTCGCCTGTCAATGACGTAATATCCGCGTTATCCCTGGTTTCCGCATGTACTGCTATAGTAACCATGGCAACAGACGTGGACAACTGTGTAGTGTGTAAAGTCTAGCGGCACGCTGTTGTTTCGTTCAAACATTATGGACCATGGCAAGCAGACTTTGGGACAAAAGGAGAACTAAAACAAGGATCAATATCAGCGTGGCGTTTTCATGATGCCGAGAGCTCCACGTCCGCGACTAACTTGGACTTGACAGAGCTTGACAAATCAATGTTATATATCTCAACTAGACATGTGCCGGTATTCGGTAATGCGATAAATCGCGGTAATGAATATGCACGATATTGTTATCGCGGGCACTTCAAAATACCGTGAAAAATAATAGATTCGAATTTAGACTTTTAGAACGCGCATTAGCTTATTTTCCATCAACCGCTTAAACACTGCGTATATGCTGCGCAAAACACGTGCGCACTCTGATGTAAACAATCCCCACATGTACAAGCACTGTGTGCATGCGGCGGCAGTGCGCACTCTAGTCTAATGTAAACAATCTTCACATGGAGTAGAAGCATGGCGGAAGGAGGAACGCTGCCGACGATTTACCCCCCGCAGGGCTGCCAACTCTCACGCATTCAGCTTGAGACTCAAGCGCCTTTCAGACAGAACGCGGAATATGCGCGGGGACGTTTTGCTGCTGCGTCGACCAAAGCACGCCGGAGTCAAAGTTCAAAGTAGTTAAACTTTTTATTTGCAAAATAGCAAATCGCGTTTCGCGTCCTGTCTGAAAGGCGCTTTACGCACCGACAGACTAGACAGAGCAGGTTACTTTTGATATGAACAAAAAAATAAATAAATCAGCTCTTAGGTTCTGTCCATTGTGACAGATCGCTGCGCCTCAGTTCAAGTAAACCGATCATCTATTACTTTTTATTTAAAGACACAGTACAACTTACCGTAAGGTATATGCCTCATACATAATGTCGATCAATCAGTGTTTTTCAAACACGGAAAGAGGTCAATAAAACTGCAGGAGAACAGAACTTATGTCACAGAACGTTACATTTACCTCAGGAAAGCCATTTAATGACCAGCACATTAGTTGACTAGAAAAAATAGCGAGGAGTATTTTGCTAAATATGTGCACTATATTACATATTTATTATATGTTTACTTGTCATTACATAATTGTTATTATAATGAAAACCGCATTATATTTAATTTCTCTCTGTGTGTTTACAGCATTATGTGAGATATATTTTTTTCTTGAGAAAAATTAACATGCAGACTGTGGCCTACCTAATATTTATCCAAATGAGTCAATATTGAATTAAGATTAAAATCAAATCCTTAACCAGGTTTTTTTTTCCTGGTTAAATAAAGGATAAAAAATAATAATAATAAAAAAAAAATCCAAGAATTTAATTGAATAATACAAACAGTAGCCTACCAGTCATTGTACCATGTAAACATTGTAACATGTTGTCACTGAATCAAATTCTGTTTAGTTACCATATGTTTTGAAAATCACATTGTGATGCAAGTTTTTATTTTTTTTTGATACCCACAATCCATCTGTTTCTCTTGAGCAATTAAAATATCGTCATAATACCGTATACCGTGATAAAAGCTCAATCAATTAATCGCAGCATGAAAATTTGATACCGGCACATGCCTAATCTCAACATGATGAAATGTTAGAATATGATCAGTATGTTATTCTAATGATGATCTAGCTTATTGCTAGTCTCATACAGCCAACAAACTAACACAAAGAATAACATCATAACTTTCAACACACTCAAATGCTGTTTAGTAAGATAGTGTAACGTTAGACCAAATTAAACAGTGCTGCGTTACCTCACAAGTTTAATTCATCAAATAAACTGACCTGTGTGAGTAGTAATTCAGCCCTTGCAGGGAGTTCGGTAGAATTAAATGTTCTTATTCCTTTATATCCGCGGGACTCGCGTGTGGCGCTAATATCTGTCTCTTATTAGAAATCGCAACCTGCTTCATACCACAATTCATGTTAAAAAGCATGAATGTTTTCACTCATCCATAAACATTATTAGATCCATCAGCATGACAGCAAGTCCCATCATTCCGCTTATCACTGCGCCATCAACCTACGCCTTTGTTATTGTAAGAGGTTAGAGACCCCTAGTGGCGAAAGAAAATTACATATTGTAGCTTTAAATAAGATTTGTATGGTATCAAAACATTTTTGACCCCATTGAAATTTCATAATTCTTGTCACCAAATTCAATATCACAAAAAAAAACTACTAGTCTAAGTAAAAAAAAAAAAACTCAAGCTTACTGAAGACAAGTAAACTAAGAAAAAATAAAATTACTCTGTCTGTTCGGACATGGTACCGGAAACCATCTATGATCCATCTGCCTTCCCCCCTTCTCCACCATGGGGATCTTCAGTCCCTTCTACTCTGCTGTGGTGTTCTTCTGCTCCACAGTGGGGATCTTCAATCCAGTATACTCTGCTGTTGTGGTCATCTACTCTGCCCTGGTGGTCTCCAGCTCTGCTGAGATGGTCTTCAGTCCTGTCAGCTCCACCCTGGCCACCTGCTCTGCTGGCTCTGTCCTGGGTCACCGATCTGCCCCAGTCTCCAGTCCTGCTTCCAGTCCACGGGCCTGAAGATCCCCACGGTGGAGCAGATGACCACCACAGCAGAGTAGAAGGGACTGGAGATCCCCAAGGTGGAGCAGAAGACCAAAACAGCAGAGTAGACTGGACTGAAAATCCCCATGGTGGAGCAGGCGGAAAGACGGAAGGATCATAGATGGTCTCCGTAACCATGACAGAACAAACAGAGAGTTCAGGGACAAGACATAAAAGTCCATATAAAACAAAAGACACACCACCAGGATCGTGACACAGGTATACTTGGCTGCTGTCACTTTAAGACCGAATGAATGGGTCCAATATACAGTTGCACATGCATTTTCTTTCTCAACTGTTTATGTTCACAACAGAAGACATAAATGACTGTGTTTACGAGTATACTTGCAAAGACAGGCATTTTGACACAAAAGTATGTGTATTGTGCATATGTGCGTTATAGCCAATTTAGGAGGCAAAATGAACTCAGAACGTCCTCGTGCACGCATCTCTCAGTCAGCGTTTAGAAACCATCTCTCAGACAGAGAGCGCATCAGTTTAGTTTATTTATAAATAAAGCACATTTAAAAACAACAGTTTGTTGAAACCAAAGAGCTGTACAAGTAATATAAAACAAACTTAAACATACAAAATCAAGAAAACCAAAAGGATTCTTGAAAAATTTGCGAAATAAAGCGAAATGATATCTCTTTCACTGCTTTTTGAGCTTCAACAGTTTAAAATCACTTGTTTTTAATCTGCAATGTTTAAAAACGTATGCAAACGATAAGCTTTCGTGACCACGCAGCACAGCAATGCCACGTGAACGTAACCGGGATATAGATGATGGTCTAAAATCTCTACTGGTTTACATATTAAATATACTATAAAAATGCACTCAGTTTTAATCGAAACAGATGAACGTGAATCTGACAACGCCTTGGTTGGTTGTTATAAGTATTGCAGCAGTTCAAAAATGAAATGTCTGATAAGTGACACTAAAATGCTCTACCACATTTGAAAATAACGTACCTCCTACACTAAATCCTACCCTAAACTTAAACAACCATTAACTGTTAGCAAAAGCAAATGTAAGAAAAAGTGCATGTGCTGAAGCAACTTTGCCATTTTAGCTTGCTTCTACAAGTATTTGAGTTTCACCGGACAATGCAAAGCAGAGGATAGTGCAATGCTGTAACAGGTGAGATCCTGATCAGAAAATACACACATGGAGCTGATTATGTGATGCAAATGTTAAAATGTTTTTGTTTACAAATCATGCACTGTGGTAAAAGTGTTTTGAGGAAATAACAGTATTGTGCAATGAACTACCTGACAATACGTTTTAATTAATTGATAATATGCCCGTGTAATCCTCATTTGTGAGAAAAGGTATATATGTTGTTGGTGTTTTACTGCCACTAGTGGTCATTTCTGCTGTAAACTGCAACAAACACTCTAAAAAATGCTGGGTTGTTTCAACCCAAATTTGGGTCAAATATGGACAAACCCAAATGTTGGGTTAAAAATGTAATTTAAAATTTTAACCCAACTTTCACTTTCAACTGTACATTTTTTTAATTACATTTTTAACCCAACATTTGGGTTTGTCCATATTTGACCCAAATTTGTGTTGAAACAACCCAGCATTTTTTAGAGTGAATGTTATGTATAGGTGTGTTTTTGGAGTTTTACAAAAATTTAGGTAGAACTGGGTCTGAAATGAATGGGGGTTTTGGGCAAAAATGCCATAAAACCCCCCAAATTCAAGATAAGGGGGCAAAAAATGCCCCTGCACAATTAAGAGAGATCTATTACGGCTATCACAATTAATGTGAAACATAAAATGAATTAGAAGTATCGATTGCGGGAAAACATTTACAGTAGATTTGCTTATGGTGCATCATATTTCTTTTCAGGTGCGGTATGCAGCGTTGAGCATTATTACCTATCACATACGTTTCTGTTGAGATTATGAATGCAATGTTCAACTTACTCACTGACTGAATTCTAAATATGCGTTCACAAATTCTCTCATCATCATAAACAAAAAAGTGCAGAAAAGATTTAAGTAAGAGATTAATTTTGCAGTGTAGACAGCTTCATTTATTATAATGGGAGATTTTGCAAAAGTGAATAAATCACATTAGACTTGTCATGGACCACTTAAATGTTCTTTGCTTGCTTTCTTTATGTAATTTATTCAGAGTTTGAATAATTGTGCTACACGCTGGCATAAAATGTACAACAATTCACAAAATCATGTCAAAATGCATAAATGAAATGGTCACCTGTTTTCACACCTGCCCCAGCATTGCTGACGTCTCCCCTGAATGGGCCAGCCTTCTTTTTCTGAGCACTCATAAGGTGACATCCCATCAGTATCTACAACAGATAGAATATCAAGAACTAGTTTTGTGACTGCAGAATTGTCCAACACAATGTGTTTGTGGGTGGCTTTCTGAACATTTATGCTTGCTAGAAGGTTGCAAGGTGGTTGCTTCCAGACCCAAGTTAAATTCCCCTCTCTATTATATTCAGGTCTCTAGATATGGCAAGCGTCCATCTTTCAATATGTCTATGGGATTTCTCCCTGTTTTATCATCGACTATCATCCACCAATTATTAATAATGGTTATTATTATCAATGTTTAAAACGTTTCTGCTGCTTAATATTTTTTTGTGGAAACCGTGATTTTTTATTTTTTTAAAGAATTCTTTGATGAATAGAAAGTTCAAAAGAACAGTATTTATTTTAACTAGAAATCTTTTTAACAAATATAAAAATCTTTCATGTCACTTTTGATCAATTTAATGCAACCTCCTTGAATAAAACTACAAATACACACTTTTTTTAAATAAAAAAATATTACCAATCCCATACTTTTGAATGGTAGTGTATCATGCTTTCCCAAAAAAAGCAGCACAACTGTTTTCAACATTGATAAAAATAAGAAATGTTTCTAGAGCACAAAAAAATATGACTTAGCTCATTCATCTGTACTGTCTCATATGCCCAGGAAAAGGGTCCATTATATGAATTCTAGATTTTTATCGACCGTTAGACTGTGTATGAAGCCTCAGTGTTATATTTAATGCATTCTTAAAAATGATCAAAATAGCAAAGGCTACTTGTAGAGGGGCTTATGGAGATTGTTCTGTACACTATTGATTGTGTTTTATTTATGGTACAATATTATCTGTAGTACAATTGAACAGCCAGAGGATGAATAATAGAGGGTGTACACCTGAATACATTTGTATTCATTCATTACAATATTTACTAGTAGTTACCAACTGTAATTGGAAATCTTTTTTGTGTATTTGGGTGAAAACTTAAAAAGAAACGCCTTGTTTTACTTGTCTCTTTGAAATAGTAATTTAACTATGTGATGCGTGTAACTTGAGAATATTGTAACCCCAACACTGTTAAAAACAAACCCTATGGTTCAAAACTATACTGGTTCTACTTTCTACTACTTTTCTCTTTCAAGTCAAATACTGTCATGGCAAAGCAACAGTTTCAAGAGAATGCTAGCCAAACTATATCACTCACCGCTGTGTAATGATGTATCTTCAGACAAGTCCAAATCCAACATGAGATCATCGTCCTCCAGGTCACATGACTCCACATTCTCCAGGTTTTTGAGAATGTCCTTATAAATGTAAAATGTGAAAAGAGAGTCAACCCTGCAGCCAGGATCTTTGCAATCTGTTATATTCACTTTTCAATAAAAATAAAATTTAAAAAAAGATTCCCATATCTAAAAAATAATAAAAACTTTCATATAGTGGAAAGATTATAGAATAACTTATTTGTTAACCACTTTATATTTAGTGTCTTTAACTACTATGCACTAATATCTAATCCACTAATATACAATGCACTTATTGTCTAAATATGAGTATTTACAGTCAGTGTACTTGTATTTAAAAAATACCTGCTTCTGAAAAAAAAAACATCTGTAAATACAGATGCAAGCAGCAATTACGTGGCAGAGCCAAGCCCACCAATTGTATAAAGTTGTAGCATTAAGGTGATTATTTTTGGCTGTTGAAAAACATGTACCATTGGATTCTGTAGGGCCCAAAGCATAGGAAGAGGAATTCAAAAAAGCTAAAGACATTCTTGTAAATTGTGCAGCAACCCAGAAATCGACAGGTACCTGAATACCAAGTTTCGTATCAATACGCCAATGCATTCGTAAAATACAGAACTTTACTGCAAATTTAAAAATGGCCGGCGCCAAAAATGGCCGACATGGGAAAACTTGATATAGTTTTGGATATAGACTCTGCATGCTGTATCGAATCTAAAGAAACGAGTTTCATGATTGATCAAACTGTTGAGAAGTTATTAGCAAAATCATAAATTTTGTCTCAAGTTTCGTCTAAATTCGCCAAAGCATTGCAGAGATATAGCCTAACGTACAGTTTTGCATGCTAGTCAAATATGTAAAACTATTTCTCAAAAATGTGTGTGATAAAAAATTGATAACTTTTCACCTCGGTGAAGATTGGATAAAATCTGAAGGAGAAGGAAAACATCAAATTAAAGTTTAGGAAATCAGAGGAAAACTGAATTTTGTTTCCAAGCTTTTCGGTTCCAAAGGTATTGCGTAAACATCAGTGTATCTTTGACCCATTGGTGGAGTTAGAGGGTTTAAGAGACTTTAAATTTGCTAGGGTTACAATTTTGACTCTCCTCTATGTTCCAAATGTAATGCGTTTTGACCAAAGCGTTCAGTGGGCTGCTATAGACTTTCACTCAAGAATGATAATAAAAAGAAGAAGAAAACTAAGATTACACTGTTGACCTTACCCCTACCCCTTAATACACCAGTTTGGCAAAACAACATGAACACAATAAGTGCAAAATAACAAATCATCTTTTTTTGATGCAAGAATTGGGACCAAAAAAATAATAATTCTGTTTTCTAGTGACTTTCTAATGACTTTACAATCATTTTCTGATACAAAATTAATTTGGAATTGGCAACTGAAAAAGTATACAGTTTATAAATTCATTAGAATGGTTAAAATGGTCAATAGCATTGACTGGCTATTCAATTCACAAGCACAAATGCATACGTGACAGAAAGTGCTACCTTTATCCCTAAACTATACTTAAAAAAAAAAAAAAATCGGTTTCAGGAAACGGAGCGTACAAGAAGCACTTTAGACTAAATAAAAAGTGCAAACAAATTTAAGATAAACATGGGTACTTTAAGGATGAGAAAGCAATTGGCAGAGTAGACTTCAGTGAAGGAGGAAGACAACTGATGCGTATTCAAGCGAGGAACAGTTCTCATGATGGAAGCCGGCTCCCCCTCTCCACAACTCATCTCTCAGAAAAGATTTAGTGCCAGTTGAGGACCTCCGTTAAAGGACTCTTCCCCATGACCGGCTATCTACTCACGGCATGACAATAGAGGAATACTCAGAAGGGAACTGCCGATTTGCAAAGCTGTGCAAGATAAAATGAGAGGTTTCTTGAATGAAAATGACTGTTTTTTGGTTCACTGAAAAATGTTAACATTTACAGTTAACAAAGCAACAAACAGCGCCAAATACTAAAGTCAATGAACTGTTTTATAGTCTTGGTCAGTGAAATTCAGGCCTTTTATTGTCTGATGGCCAGGATTTTATCCATACAGATCATTTTGAGGTAATCATGCTTCATAGTCATACAGTAAATAGGCATAAAGAGTGAAAATGAAACTGCACCAGTCAACAAAAACATGCAGCTCTGACAAACCATTTGCATGTCCACTGTGCATTTGCAGATGAAGGCAGCACCACTCTTTATATGTGAATCACACAAGACACACAAAATCGGTTTCGTCTCTTACACGCTGGCAATTGAATGGATGAAAGCACACAGTTCTACTTGTTGCTCTTAGTTTTCAGGGGTGGAAAAGAAGTAACCACTTTCAATATTGGATATTCTCTACTCTGTATACAGAGTCCTTAACATTCCACACTAAATCACAATAACAGCGATGCTCAAACTATGACTTTCATAATAAAGTTTGTGATTGATCATGCAGGGATAAAATGGATCAACAGGTTTCAACTCAGCAATTTTTAAATTTTTAAATTAAACTATTATGGACTTTCATGGCTATATATAAATACAACATGTATCTCTTCCGATCAAAGATCTTGATGACTCAATTTGCACTTCATCAGAAATTATAAAAACACCTTGACGAAGTCAACATTGATGAGTGAGAAATCAGCAAGCATAGGTCATGGGTGTGTCTAACCCCAACTCTAACCTTATGTTAGATGAGAACTAAATAGCTTGATTATCCTCCCTAAATCATAGGGCTCGACATTACCACTTGCCCGATAGTCCGGGACAAGGGGATTTTTTGACGAGGCAAGTGAAAGGGAATTTTACTTTCCCGACTGGAGAAGTAGCCTGATTAAAACTTCAGACTGACAGAAAATAACTAGGGAAACATCAAAATGCGAGAATGATTTTGTTACATTAAGTGTAAACAGTAGGGGTGTAACGGTTCACAAAATTCACGGTTCGGTTCGATACGATACACTGGTGTCACGGTACGATTCGGTGCGTTTCCGATACAGCGAAAAGAAAGAAATGCCAGAGAAATTTCCTTGATTTAATTTTTTTAATTATATTTTTAGAGTAAAGTATGATATTTTTTAACTTTGAGCAATGATGGAGCTATACTTGACTTTTCTTAAGGGCTTATAAAACAAAAAAGCTCCTTGGACAAAATGAAATGTAATATTGTAGTAGTTATAAACAAAGGTTTAATTTAATTCAGATTAACATTTGAGGACAGCAACTGTATTCATAATGTCAAAATAAAACCGACGTGATGTTACTTGAAAGCATTATAGCCTACTATTCCTGCCAAACTCCCATGGTTACAGTTAGTAGTGTTACTACAGTAAATCCATGGTGAATGTCGCTGACCTGTGGACACTGGATAGTTAGCGCTGTTTGATCCGTTAATAACGGAGAAATGTGAATGTTTCTCACTAGATCTTGCAGCGATGTTATTACTTCAGTGGCGAATTCAAATGCTTTCTTTACTGGATTTCGCTGTGTAGTAACAGTGCTAATGATTAAGATCGGCTCGCGCTGCATTGGTCCAAACTGATAAACGGTCCGTCAACCACACAATAACGAGTGGTTTCGTTCCACTTACATTACATTTGCCATTTGATGTTGGGCAATGTTGTGGTCACGCCAGCGTCTCTTACATTATGAGCGCGCTTGGAAAAATGGTCTAACGAACCGTTCGGTTCAAAAATGCGTACCGAAAACCAAACCCGAAAGCCTCGTACCGAACGGTTCAATACGAATACGTGTATCGTTACACCCCTAGTAAACAGCGATAGATAATGGATAGTGTATTTCTCATAACAAGTGCTACATCCACGCCATGCCGTAATTACCGTAGTCTCAAGATGACAACACGTGACGTTATATTCGGAGCTGTTCACATCCTCGGACTGGGAATTATGCGTTTCTATGGCACCACTATCAACACCTAAATGAATCTGCAGCGGTCAGGTGGTACAGCAGAATTTCGTGGAGACATCGAAACAAATGAGAGTAACAGCACACACAAAGAAACTCACCGAAGAAACAGACTGAGGTAAAAATTCTAAATGTTGATTTTTTTTCTTTATTTATAACATATGGTATAGTAAATTAACATAATGTGACACTACCAGTATTTCGGTAGTACCGGGTATATCAGGTACCTGCTATTAGGCGACTGCTTTCAAACGCTCCTGAGTCTATCTGTGTAAGCGCTTTGTGAACTGCGTCAAAGGTTTCTTTTTACAAAGTGTTTTTCAAGTGTTAATCATTGAAGCCAATCACAGACATAGATCTTGAGCGCATGAACCCAATGGCCAATATGAGGTGTTTAAGTTAGTCAGAATTCGCTTAACACCACTCAAAACACCTTCTTCTGCACACTCACGAACCCTTTCACTTTTACCAACAGTGTAAACACAATGTGAAAAGAGTCATTGTGCAGTGTAGACAGCTTTTTTAATTAAAGCGTAATCTTTCACAGGAGTGTAGATGTAAGTGAGCATGTGATTGACTGCTTCAGTGATTATATAAGCAAGCGCTCTTTGCTTGCTTTTCATTTATAACCCATACGCAATTTTAATAAAAGTTTTGTTTTTCATGCTGCTCAGTACACTGCAAAGTTTCGGATTTACAACTGTATTTAAATGTGTGATTGAATCCGAAACTGCAATGATTGACAGCAAAACAATCTGATACGGTATGTCAAAATAGATGTGCATTAAGTCTTAGAGTGTAAATGCAAACTAACAAACCTGCCACTTGTTCTATGTAGTGTATGTGTTTGTTTGTCCTTCATTGTATCCATTTGAAGGCTAAATGTTGTTTAAATGTATTATTTACTTATATAATTATTGTCATCATGAGTAATAAACTAATTTAATTTAATTAATATTTTTATTTTTAAATAAATAAATAAAATCAAATAAATGAAAATAGTTCCAACAGTTTTTGCTATGGTACTACAACTGGTACCGAGAACCATGACATTTTACTGGTAAAGGTCCCAACTACTGTAATGTTGATGCCATGACAACCCTACTTGTTTTGGACGTATATCAGCATTGCACA